CTTCTTGGGCTCCTTTGGACTCTCTCCTGCTGAGAGGAAGGCTAGGTCGCTTTCGCCGCTTGCCAGGGCTTCTTTTCCCAGGCTCACCAACTCGCTGATCTCCACCTCTAGCTTGAAATGCTTTGAGTCGTTGCAGAAGGCCACAAATTTGCTCTGTGGGCAACCCAGAAGACAGAAGGTTTTTCCTTTCAGTTCGAACTGGGCCATTCCTTCCGGCATTTCTGACTTGTGTTTTGCTCTGATCACCACTTCCAGCCAGCTTCCCTTAATCCCAGCATCACAGCTTGTCGCCATGCTGGAGAGTCACCACGTGCTAGCTTGACGAAGCCTATGGGATGCCCCTCAATGTGCTCCATCCGTCGACTGTAAGGTCTTCTGGGTTGAGTCCAAACCTTCCAGCCTCGCCCACAAATCTGATGCCTGCGTCTTCCAGGGAATCTGCTCTACACCAACGTATGCCGGCAAAGGCACCGTCGTTGAGCTCTCTGATCCCGTTATATGCAATGCTACCGATTGCCCAATGAGTGCCCACGAATCGCTCACCCCAAGATGGAATGTGCCAAACTGTATAGCACCTAAATTCAGGATTTGCAGTGTCAGCAGAGGTAGGGACAGTTCAATGCCGTTCCAGTTGACCAGGTGAGCACAGGGGCCTCCAATCAAAGGTCTTCGCAAGGCACTGATTGAACTGCTTTGGCTCACTGGCACAACGGACACTTCAGTGGCTGACACGCTGGCTGAACTCCTTCCCGAAGAATCAGCCACTCTGTCACCACCGCTATGGCGCCGGCAACGGCAAATCACACGGTCCCACAACCACTTGAACATGAAACTGGGAGGCAGCGGTTGATTCATGATGCCATATGTTCTCTCTGGTGGAGCATTAGCTCAGCTCTTGTTTATGTTTTTGGAGTCGAGCCGAGAACGGCAATCTTGGCCCCTAAAGCTTGCTTGGCTTCAGAATGAAACTGTGAGCATGTATTGCATGAGTATAGACATGGGGGGAAGATTTCCCTGATGAATAGATAGATGCTTCTTCACCATCTTCCAGATGCGGAGATTCTCAAAAACAGTGACACATCTGGCCTCCCTTTTAACGAAACGCCACGCAGTTCCGCCCAGAACCGCAGCAGTTCGGCCCCCCAACCGGCGCTGCCACCTGATTGCGGGAGATGCGTCGGTAGGCAATGTTCGCCAAAGTCCACGACTTGGGTCGCCTTCGCCAGGAATCGCTGAGAGGAAAGTCGAGGGTTGGAAGGTTTGTCGACGGGTATCCCGGGTATTCCACACTGTATCCCACAGGGTATCCCCAGGGTCAGCAAAGAAGTCCAAAGCATCAAGTGAAATAAGGCCTGAGTAAATGAGCATCATGTCTTGACCGCAGAGTCATGTGTGTGTGTGCGCGCGTGTGCATCTTCAAGTCATCGAAAGCCTTCAGTGCACCAGCTGGATCCAAGGGCTTTTGAGCGCTGAAAGGAACATCTCTGGCTGATCAAGGGGTATACGGCTTGCATCGAGCCAAGTCAGTCGAGCGAAGTCTTGTGCAAATCTGGGGTGAGAATTTGTTGCTGGCATAGACTGGCACAGACTCGTGCTGGGTCGTCTTGAACCCAGCTGATGTGATTCAAGCAATGTGGGATTTCAACTTGACAGGCTCATCCACTTGCAAGCGCACCCACCCAAAGAATGACTGTGCATTCTGATTGACTTCATGTGGCTTTGGACCATGCCTTTCATGATGGCCAATCTCCCTTGATCAACTCATATAGGACATTAAACAAATAAAACAGTAGCCACAGTAGCATCAAAAAGCAAAGGATGGTGGACCACAAGGAAAAAAACATTCAACAAGTCACGCTCGGCAATTGATTTCATTCAGCAAGATGCCACAAGCTGCCTTTCATCGAAGATCAGCTTCAGCGTGTCGTCATCTGCACCGCCTCGGAAAGGAAATCCCAAAAATGAACATCTACTATTTGGAGTGAGTGTAGACGATGGACCAGCGGTAGGAGTTCTGGTTACCCAGAAATGACTCGGTGGGGGGGCCTGGGATCCTTCCGAACGCGGCAGGCCGTGGCTGGAAGAATCCCAAGTAGCACTTCGTCTCTTCCAGCAGGAAGAAGTGCTCAACTGCGAGAGGAAATCATTTTCGTTAACTTCTTCCAGCCGCACTGCAGACCTCTTTGCACGAAAATCTTCCAGGGCACCCAGAGAAGCGAAAGTCACCAGGCTCGAAGGCTCAAGGTGAAGTGGCGCGTCCTCCTGGCAGAAGGGCGAAGTTCTGCACGACAGGCACGACAGTGCTGAGTTGGCACGACAGTGCTGAGTTTTTTGGGCACCTAGATGCACCTGGATCTGTAGAAGAGTCCCTCTTTTTCGGGGGGCTACTTTCCTCACAGCTTCCTTCGTCATGTCATGTTTCTACACAGAAGATCTGTCCGAACAAAACACCGCTCAACGCAGAACTGCTCTGCCTTCAACTGCTCAGCCACCGCGCTCGCCAAGTGCGAGAGCGACACGGACTGGACGTCCACGTGTAGAACCAGGACGGCCTGAGGCCCGCACCGTTTGGACTGGTCAGTGGAGAAAGGCTGGAAGTAAAGCTTAGAAATCTTGCAGTGGTTTGCAAGACATATGCAACATCAAGCCTTTTCTATGACTTTTCTTCCCAAACCTGCTGCAAGTGGGTCGGCACATTAGCAGGGAGGTCGTCTGTTTATGGAGATCTTAGTTTAGGGGAGAAACAACCAACATCTGCGGATCTTCCTGGTTTCTATCCCAGCCCAAAATCTACCAAAGTGTGCGTGTTTCTCGTGGTTTTTGTGATGCTGTGTGTTTCCATGCATCTTTTTTGGCCATGATATCCCTGGTCTTGAGACCAGGGTGATCCTGATGTACCTCCTCATGATCTCTCATGAGAGCCGCGGGGAGCTGCCCGGTGCCTTCCGGCCCCGGTGCAGCATCGCCAGCAGGACGGGTCCGGTGCCTTTCCGCGATGCGCGCGCGGCCGAACCGGAGGAAGGTCTGGAGGTCGGAGGTCAACTCGATCTCACATCATCTCATCTCAATGGGAGTCACTTGATGCAAGCTGGCCCTGTCTTTCATTTGAGCAGACTGGGTCAATTTTTGTAAGCCACTTGGACGTTCTTCCGACCCAATCCCACCCTGGACCGTACGGTCGAAGCGCTCTTCACCGTTCTCTGCGTCGTTTCAACGAAGCGACTGCAGGGCCGCGCGGAGGCCGAGTTGGTGCCTCCCAACAATCGAAGGGCCACAGCGGCCACTGCAGCTGCCCAGAAAGCTACATCCGGTGGACCAGTGACCTGGATTGCCAGCTGACCAGAGCAGCTTCAAACAGCTCACATGTCCACCACCCACAGGTGTCTTGACCTACTACCACAGAAAAGAAGCAGGGACGAGTTGACCATGTGGATCCTGTATCTGCCAGACGCTCCCCTTGATAAGCTGGGAAGGTCTGCAGGACACCCCTAGTGCTGGGGGTCAAAACCAGGGTTTCCTCTACCAGAGCCTCCTGTTTGAGGTGTCTAAATGATTTTCTTGCCCCTTCTATCTCGGTTTTAAGTGGGGTGTCCATTCATTCCCAAACAGGGGGTCTCTGGTAGATCTTCCCGACCCTTTCCCTCCCTTCGGCCTGGACTTGCTCGCTCTCCCAGTGATCGCTCGCCGGTCTCGTGACCGGAGCCGGCAGGGCGGACAGCTGAACGCTGGCAGGGCGGTCCTCCAGCTGAGCGCTCTGAGCCTTGGGTCTCCAAGTCCGGACCGCTTCGCGGGCTCGGGTCAGGTCAGGTCAGGTCAGGGGAAGATGGAAATCGGGTGTAAAATCATCGAAAGCTTCAGGGGGAAGATCTTGGAAACGAAGCAACGAGTCTCGAGTCATGTCATGTTCAGTGGACTTCTTTCTCTTCTCATTGCAGCTCCAAATCTTTCATGTGACATCGAAAAATCGGTCGAAATGCTCAAAGCGGATTGAGACCAACGCACTTGTTCCTTCACCCCGATAGCCTGGTGTCCCAAGCAGAGTCAGAGTTGTTCTGTGATGGTTGGAGGGCAGACGAATGCTGGGCTTCAGGCATCTGCATGAGCCCAGGAGCAGCTACATTGCTCAGTTGACATGCTTCAGGAATGCAAGATCCGACATCTATGATGTTGGTAGCTAACTGATTCAGAGTATGAGTCGAAGTACGTCTTCAACCTGGACCACATGTCACATGTCCTACATGGATCCGATGACACGACCAAGGTCTATGCTGCATCTCCATGTATCTCCTTATGACTGGACTCCCTTTCGCCAGAAACACAAACTCGGACCCGCTCAGTGGACAGAAACGGCGTTCCTTGCAGGTTCAAAGAGGTGCGAACGTGCATCTCTGATATCGAGTACTCAGTACTCGAAGATACTCGAAGCCTCGAAGCTATATTTTGGGGGGGAAGATCGTCCATAAAAGAGCTCACACCTCTTGGCATATATGGTCCAAAGCCTCTTGGCGTTCCGCAGGAAAGCAACACAGAAAAACTATATACTGTCTCCATCTTTCTCCCTAGGCCAAGGTGAGGATTTAGTTTATCCATGGCTAGCTGAAGATTCATTCATGAGGCCACAAAAACCATACGAGAAAAACGAAAGTACCTGGATTTCAGGATGACTGCGATAGCTTGCGATCCTCACTAACCCCACATGGAGCTGTTCAAAAGGTGAGAATCACATCTAGCACACACCCAAGAAGAGTTGAATATTGAAAGCCATCGAGAAACACCTCCATTTGGGAGGAAGATTTAAAAAAAACTGAAAACAAACACAACACAGGCTTGGTGTACTTATTAGATAGCCTTTGGGCCTTCCAGTCGTCCAAAAAGCCGCGAGATGGCTCACCTGTGCCCAGATCCAAGCGGACTAGCCGGCTGGCGGACTAGCCGGCTGGCGGACTTTTGGGCGCCACTGTGGCGGAGAGTCTGTGCAGGAGCAGGAATGGCTCCTCTACTCAGGTGGATTTCTTCCCCAACATCACCTCTTTCGCCTGGCGAAGCTCGCGAGCGCCGCAACCACCCGATGTTCACCTAAAGGCGCTACACAAACTACGCAAGCTATGTCTCCTTGAAGTGCTGGGAAAAGTGTGAAAAAAGGAACCACTGCTTCTGTTCAATCAGGTTGATGGTTGCAGGTTGATGAAACTTCTTGGCATCTACTTCGGAAGGCCTATTTCATAGCTTTATAAGGTATGGGACACTAAATGGATCCCCTCAAGTCATCTACATGCCTGTTCGCAGCATCGAGCCTCGTTGATCTTCGAGGCAATGTAAGTGGAACCGCCCTTGTCAGGGTGGTTGGCGATCAGCAACCTTGCCGGATGCGAACACCAAAACATCGACAAACAGAGGAGAAACTTGTGGGCTGGACGAACAAATCTCCAAAACAAATGGTAGAAGAACCACCTCTCTGAGCTTATTTGTACCACATTGTGGAACCACACTTTCAACACTTTCCAATCTCATCCAACTCAGGAAATTCCCTCCCATCCTGCCCCATCCCCCCAAAACTCCCCAGTTTCGCAGGCCCAACCAACCCCCAAAAGCGATGCCCCGCGCCCCGCGCGCCGAATCCGCGGCCCGGCCTCCGATGCGCTTCGCGCACGACGTCCTTGCTGGGCGCCACCGAGCCGATGTTGAGGATCTTCTTGGCCTGGCGGCACCCGAGCGACTGGCCACGGCCGAGCCGATGAGCACGAGGCCAACGACTCGATGGCGCGGTGAGAGGGGAGCGAGTGATGGCCGGCGAGCCCAAAACACGACGGGTACCGAAGAAAAAGGGCACGAAGAAAAACATTCCAACACCGTAAATGGGTGGATCCTTTTCTTGGGCCAAAACGCCAATGGGTGGGTCCTTTGAAGCCCATTCCTTCCACCCGTCGCGACCGCGACCCTGGCGGCGTGGACCCAACCGGGGGCGGATCCCCCACCACGCCTCGGCGCGTGACATGGGGGCTTCGAAGCCTTGTAGGCCACTGCCCATGCTGAAGGAAGGCATGTTGAAGTTCATCTGCGCGAAGGTTCGAGACCAGCGGAGAATCAGAATCGCATGTGAAGGTATTTGTGAAACACAGAGATCTGCCTGTTGACGTTGTGTTTGTGTTTTTCTGAATATGTTCGACTTGGGCCTCCTAATTACAGTGTTTGAGACACATGGGCCATCGAACTTCGCTGCACAGGAAGGTCGCTGTCTGTGCACCAACCCACGTGTCCGTCCAAACGACCCACACATGTTCTGGCAGAATCTGAAAATCCAAAGGTCAACATTTTGCAATCTGGGGAACTTCCTAATAAACCCCCGTCTCCAGAATGGTTTTACCAGCTTTCACCTCTTCATGGACGGGGGGTGATTCATCAACAGTCTGTTGTACATTTACTGGCATGAACATGGAAGTTAGAAGTCAGAAGACCCAAAACCTTGGCACCCAGACGCTCTTCAACCCTCCTAACTAATGACCGGACCCCTCATATGCAGAAGTCTGTGGGTTGAACCAATCCGATCACCATTCACATCCCTCAAAACCCTGTCAAGGTCCACCTCCCTTCTGTTTTCTAGGACCTCTCCACGCGCCGACCGCTCCCACCGGCGGGACGTCCACTCTCCCACCTTCACGCCCGAGGCCCGCAGAGCCCGCAGGCCGCTGCGCGCCGCCAAGGCGCCGAGACCTGGGACAAAACGCCCGAGAGAGCCAACCGTCCCAGCGGCGATGGCCTCCGACCTACCTGCGATGCGGACGGCCAATGGAAAGAGATCGGAGAGGCCTCAAAGAGGGTTTTGCTTCGTGTGTCCGATCCGAAGAGCTTGGGGAAGAGTCAACTTTCGATCATGAAAGAGTGCGAGGTGACCTACGTATATAGAATGAATCTTCGATCATCACCATCATCTGAAGTTGAAGAGCGATTCTTACAGTCGATTCTTCCTCCATCGTCACTACCTTGCCCGCGTTTGCGGCCCAACAAGGACCGCGAGCGGCGAGAAGAAATCCCCTCACCAAACCTGGAAGAGGGCCGTGGATGATTAGTACAGGAGCCCCACATCTTGATACATGCTGCTCCCTGAAATCATCATGGTGCATTGCGGCGACCTCCATGTCTAGTCTATGGTCGCACGGAGTGTCATCCCGTTGTGCAGTAGGGTGATGCAACCTATATCCATCGTTGTCCAGTAGAGCTGCGCCAAACTGGCCGCGACTCTCAGATGGCTTTTAGGGGCCGTTCCCTGAGTCATGGCCCAACAATTTTAAGATGTGCACATCATTTGCCTCCCCACTTGCCAAGCCTAGGGTGGAGGCCATTGGTTGGAGGCCGTCGCTTCTACATCGCTATTAAAATTCCCCATGCCAAAAAAGGAAACCCTCTCGGGTTCTTGTCCATTCGGAGCAATGTGCTCTGCGACCACTGCGGGGTCTAGGGGCCACACCAATCCCACCCAATACGATGGCTGGCCACGGCATACCTGACAGATGGGCACGACAATTCTTTGAATGTAGAACTAGAGACAACCAACGCATGGGCAAAATGTGTTGCAAATCGGTAGGTTCTGCGACCCACCTGCGCTGGGGTATATCCTGCGATATTGATCCTACATCTCATGAAGTCCAAGTCTTTTGGAGTGGCCACGGCACTTTTGTCTATAAATAGTATATTTTTTTGAAATATATGTATATGTACCTGGAACCTGAGTGACCCCTGTTGGAGGGTCAACTGTCCAAAATATTGCCTTTTCCTATCAAAACAGGAGTCAAAGGGGTTCTAGGTATATCATATGCCTTTCTGTTCATCAATTCAGCCGTGGAGGTCTGTGCTGCCATGTTCATCAAACCGAGGCCGGGGTTCGCAAGGGGCTCCAAACCGTGTTCGGAATCCACTTGCTTCGACCGTTCAAGGGGTTCGTTGGATAGCCATTGATACCAACGAGCAGCCATTCGGGGAAAACAAAAACCGACTATATGGGTGTGCGTCAAAACCCCGGGTCTCAGGCCATATGAGTCTTGTCAATTTGTAAATATGTGAATATGTGAAACATGAAAAAACGCAAACTCTCCTGCCAAAAACCGAATGTCGCTGGCGAGATCTCGCTGGCGGGATTTGGCGCTCGCCTCCGCCTTGCTGCACCTCCGCTCTCGCAGGGCCTCTCCAAACCCAGGCTGAGGTCATCGCTATGATATTCTGTTGATTGATATTGACTAAGGATCTGAGGTCATCGCTGAGCAGTGCGCCGCACATCGAACAGCCTTTTCCAAAAGCGGAAAAAGTTCTGTGGCCATATCTGGCCAGAGCCATCCGACTGGACTTAGTTCCAGGGATGATCGGCTCGTCAAAGAATCACATCAATCGTCTTCAAAACGTCCAAGGAAGAGTTGATCTTGGAAAGTGACTCCGAGTCCAGTGGCCCCTTCGCTCAATGGCAGTCCTATGGTTCTATCATGTTCTATCCAATCACTGGAAAACAGTCACCCACGCACCAGATCTCTTGAAGTCACGCCGCGCTTGCGGCACGCGGACTACCAAGCGTGAAGCGCGCCCGAGTCGTGACCACCCCGCCTGCGGCGCCGGTCGTGACCGTAGGTCGGGAGTACGGTGGTCTGAAGAACATCTTGGGGAAACACTGCTAGAACACGCTGATTTGGGGGGGAACAAAACCTGCAGACCAGAAATCGTCTTTTTTTTTGTGCTCTAAGCGGTTTTCCATCGTGACATGAGAGAGTGGACAAAGAACAGAGAGACTATAGCGAAAATGACTACCCCCACGCAAACTGACCTGGAACCTGCTAGAACCTGGGAATGAACCGGTGGTTTCGACCATTTTCCTCTACCACCCACTGGTTTTCTCTGGTTTCGGGGTTCTAGGTGGACCTCGGCAGGGTGGCAGGGTGTTTTTCAGTGCATCCAGTCGTCAGTCGTGTGGCCGCCATGTGTCCGTTTGTAACGGAGCCTCAGTGACCGAAGATTGGCACCACGCTGTCATAGAGAATACCACACCTTGGCAGTTGGCAGCCACTTCCAGCAGCCACAAAGCAGGCTTCGCGCTTCGCGCGACTCTGCGGGCGAGCGAGCATGGAACATGTGCTGATTGATGATGTGAAGCACCAAAGTCAAACCATCACAACCAAACAATTTAGACAGAAATAGTGAACCTACAGTTTGAGAATTGACATTGGACAGTTGGACATCAAGGTATGAATCTATCACTTTGCGGTCTGAGAACGTATAGGGTGGTGCATCCTGTCTTGCGATCATTTCTCCGAACCCTTCCCCCGGCACCGGCGTGGCTTCGGACCCCGAAGGGCCCCAGGCATTCCACAGACCTGAACGCTGGCAGGACCGCCATCGCAGCCGGTGCCCATTTGAGGCTGGTAGTCGGTACCACAATGGTCCTCCTGGGAGGAGGATCTGATCAGGCAAAAGGCTGTTCTGGGTCGATGGCTTTTGGGTGGTCATCTAATGAGGAGTCTTATACACTAACTTGGAACCTTGATGAACCTTGCACTGAGAGCTACGGAGATGGAAAGCACGCGGTGTCTAAACCACAGAAGAACAGGGAGTCTGTGCTTGTCCCACCCTATTCCCAATGTTGATGGGTCCTCGTATGTTCCTCAGGCCCACAAGCATTCAGACCTTTTCCAAGGCTCCATTGTCACACGTACTTCGTACTGTCTCTGGTTGCTTCACTTTTCCACTTGAAAGCCGAAAAGCGCTGTCCAGTGGAAGGCCGCCGTTTAATTGCTCGCTTTCGCTCGCTGCGAAATCGCTCGCTCCTCCTGATCTTGGCGCAACAAGCGCATGGTGCCCTGCTCTCCAAAGCTGTCGCCCCAGGAGTTCTGGATGGTCCAATACTTGGTCTTGTACTCCTTCGGGGAGGGGGTAGCGCGCCATCTTTTGAGACATTGGCCGATCATGAGACAGAGTGGGAGACGTTGGTCCCATCACTTCGGTACCCTTCAATAAGAGATGGGAAGATGGGCGACTTTAAAAAGGATTGGATCTTACAATTCCTGTGACCATCTGTGAACAGTCTTAGACGACCTCCTGTCTGTTGGCTTTGTAACCCAAGGACCTGGGGACCTGGAGCGACTGACCGTGGTGGTCGTTGGCCAAATCAGTAACCCAAGGGTCCACTGGCTACGGATGGCAGGACAACTCGACATCCCCAAGGACCACTCTGAGCCCCCAAAAAGGAACATGTGCCACAGTGACCCTGACTACCTGCCACGGTCTTTTGTTACCTTTGTAGATGGGTTGAAGGAAACTGTCATAAAGTGATAAAAGGATTGTTCTTCACACCAATGTGTGCGTGGTTTCTCTAACCTCCCACACTTTCTGCCCTTGCCCCGCCCCCACGGCCGCCTGCCCGTAGGCAATGAGCGTCACCGCATGGTCGATGACCGCATCTCGTGGACAATCTCCGAAGATGCCACTCATGTACAACTCCCAGCCATCAGCACCTCACCAGACCCAAGACGCAGACCATCACCAGACCATCACCCAACCCAAGAAGCGGAGAACGTGTTTCATCACGGGTCACAGGGTTGGGGTGGTGGGTCTGCTTCCACGCGGTCTCCAATTCAACCTCAGAAAAACGCCTTCCTTCATACAGTAAGTTCGATGGATGTCCATACCTGAAACAATCCTGAGTATGGTAAAACAAACAAAAGCACATACATGTCATATAGAGCATAAAATATATACCTGGATCTTCCAACTATGCCAAATGTCTACCTTTTGGTTGACTTTTATGGATGAAAAAGCAGGAATTGGGCATACCGATTCCAGATCCTGCCATCGGGCCATCCGACGCGCCCACCGGTCACCTCTGAGAGGTGAGAAATCCTTGCTGGTGTATAGCTGTTGTCCTTGTTGCCCCCAAAAGTTTCTTGAGTTGAAAACATGTTGCAAATTACTGGTTTGCCATGTTCTTGAGCTTTGCACAAGGACACTATGAAGTCTTGATGAGCTCAAGAATTTCATGAACTTGAACTGTCCAAGGGCAACTAGGACAACAGCTACGCCAGCTAGCAAAATAACGACCAAATACCATGTGGTTTTTCCAAACGCAGAGGCGAGGGCACTCACGGACACAGCCACCGGGCCCTTGGTCACCAGCGCCCGCTTCCTGGGTGCGGTCACAACACCGCGGGGTGTTCCGGAGTGAACCAGACATCTCGTGGGCGTCCGTGGCACCACCTCCGTCAAAAGATTGGCACCACCTCCGTCAAAGGGCACCAGCTCCAAGTCGGGCCACCCCAAAAAAACCCTTGGACCCAAAAATAGCGGACCGAAAGACGTGAACCTCAAGGTTGCCGCAAAAAACATCTCGTGGGCCTGGAAGAACACAGGGGTGTGTGTGTGTGTGTGTGTGTGTGTACTGTACCCCTTGGAGTTAGAGGGAGCCTTATTAACTTATGGTTTTTAAGCAGGGGGCTGGAAGGAAGCTTGGACGCAAACTTCTGCACCTGCTTCAAAATTGAATGTAACGCGGTTCACTTGTGACGTTTGTGCCTTTGTACATTTTACGTGGTCAAGTGCAAACTATATACGCAACTCCTTTCAGGAAGAGATCCTTGATTTTTGTTGGATCAGAAAGAGAGATCAAGGGGCTTGACCTGGCAGACCCTCAGGCTTTCGCATTGTGTACAGTACGCCTGCACGTTGGACTAACAGCTGAGTGAAAGATTGAGAAATGCTTACCATGGCTGATTTCTTGAAAACCTGGGTTTTATTACTCAGGCCCCTGTTTTCACCTAGGTTTCTTCTAGCTTTGGCGGCCTCAGTACGTACTCTTTATCTCGAGAGTGTGTCTCTGTGTGTGTGTGTGTGTCTCTCTCTCTCTCTCTCCCTCTCTCTTTTCAAACCAGCGAAACGGCCAGCTAATGGTCGGACGGGGGTATCAGTTTCGATGACTCGTCTCGGAAGAGTGGATCTCACATTCAACCACCTGGTGGAAGTGGAAAGTGGCCCTAAGTTCAAGACAGTCTGATTCAGCTTCTGACTGATGTGACAAGACATTTTGCAGCTCACGTGCCAGTCACGCTCCTTGCAAGGGTATGCACGCTCCGATGCACAGTCCCGTGGGTGGATTTGAGCCTAGCCCTTGGGATGACAGGTGTCCTTTACAAACCAAAAAACACTAAACCAAGAGTTGGAAAAACCGTTGGGTAACATGTATTGACATCGCCAGACCTCCTGGAAACTCGTTCAACCCAACGGGAAAGCGGGATAGTTCGACCCCTCTAACTTAGCCAGGGCGAAAACGCCCAGTGACGAGTCCAAGGATCAGTGGCTCGTACTTGTTCTCTGGCAGCTTTTCCCAGCCTTTGGAGCTGGTCCCAACACCGATCGAGAACTCTGGAAGAAAAACTCACGACCACTAACTGAAGGAAGAAATTCCCCAACCCCCAATCTCCACGGGTTGGAATTATGTCGATTCTGAAATTCTACCTGATTGTTCGGCGAAAATCTCCACCTCATCTTCCCAGAAAATCAGGCCTTGCATATGAAGGGTGTGGAGCCCGACGGATTTGCTGGTCGCCATCCGGACCTCAGGATCGGTGGATCGGGTCGGTTCCGCTCCCAGAGGTTTCTTCCCGAAGTGGGCCAGTCATTGGAGTCTCCGCACCCAAGAAGAACAAGTGAGCGGCGGTGAGACTCTTCAATTTATGACCATCAAAGGTCCTGCAATGTCCTACACCTTGTTCGTTCCTCCATTCCAAAGTGGGTTCTTTCATGTTCTTTCCCACCACAGCTATTTAGCTACGCAGCTACGCAGCTACGTTTAGACTGCGGTCGTCCATCTCCGTTCAGGTATCCATCGACATTCAAGGTCACCCCTTAATTAAGAACTTAAAGAACCGGACAGAGGAGAGGCGGCCCCCCCAACAACAGACCCTCTACTGAGCAGACCCCCGGAGTTGGTGTGAGTAGGTTTAGTGTGAATGAGTTGGTGTGTGAGTTGCTTGAGTAAGTTGAGTAGGAGACTAGGTCGCTCTTCCCACACGTCGGTGGGCGTCGCTCCGTGGATTCGGAGTCCAAGTGGCCCCGGAGTCCGCAAAGTCGTCGGAGCCAGAGAGCTCCAGCAAGGCGTCTCGGTGGGACGCGTCGGTGGGACGTTCAGTCTCAAATGGTCGGACTGGTGATGCTGTGATGGCTAGCCACACTAGCCGGCTGAGACTGGGCGAGAAGTCTGAACTCCTCAAGAGCCAGAAACCATTCAAAACTCTTTCCTCAGTCAAGCAACGTCCGTTGTTGAGGCACTGCTGATCACTTCCTCTCCGGTTGAGGCAAAGTGGGACCAAACTCTGCAGAGTTGGAAGGATGAACATGGAGGAACAAGGACACTAGGAACAAAGGGCATTGCTACGAACGCAGCGATCGGAGGCTACAAACGGGGCGAAACTGGCCTTACTAGGAACAAGGACGCTGGAGCACAGGGAGCAAAGGGCATCGGCTCCAACCAGGAACTTTGTGGAGTTTGCCACCCAAGAATGGCAGAAACACCGTTTGCCACCAAATGGAATCCACCGACTGTTGACACCGAACTACCTGGATCGACAGCCTTCGATCTTCCAGTCCATTCCCCCCGCCGACCGGTTCGGTCTGGGCCGTCACTGTCGGTTCCGAGCCATGCGAACAGCATCGAACCAAGTCAGTGCATCAAAGTCTGACATGTCCTCTCTAAAGCCCGTCTCTATGCAAGGGGGTTAGAACGACTGCCCGTTATGATGGTGAACCCTTTTCCCCAATTTGCGTCATGAGCTTCCGCCACGTGACCGCCTGAGTTTCTGTGGGTTTGTCGGGGTCAGTTGAGAAGGGACAAAGCAAAACCATGCATGGGGAACAAACCATAGTCGCAGTCCTGCATAGGGCTGGTCCGTTTCCTGAGGCTCCGCTGGCAGTGGGCGCTGTTATAGTAGTGTGACTGACTGTCTGGCACCCACGTTGCAGTCATCCGGTCACTGCGGAAGAGGTCGCACCAACCAAGAGCAACACAAAACCAACTCTGCCGCACTCATCTGGCCTCTTAAGGCCCTAAAACGATGGCGGATTAAGTCCAAGAAACCTGCTTCGCACAAATCTTTCAATCCTACATCTACGCAAGGCCTCACCAATCTGTTCTCCACGTCTCCACTGCTCGGTGTCCAGTCGACTCGTCGACTCGTCGACTCGTCCGATGTCTTTCGCTCGAGACCCGCCAACCCAAAGACCCGATGTCTGCAGCCAAGTGTCTTTGGACAAGCCGTTCCTCATGGTATAAGCCATCGCCAGTTCGACGGTGGCACCTTCACAACCACCGCTTCCTCCACAGTTCCTGACACTGGGGGCCGCCCCAAACCCGGCTGCATGAGGTATGATGAGGTGAGAAAAAAACCGCTGCAGTTCGCTCTACTTCGTGGCTTCTTCGGATGAACCCAAAAACCCACGGGGGGCCGGACCCGTTCTGGATCCTGTCTTGGCCGACCCGTCATTGATGTCCAGAGCCACGAGCGGCAAGGAGGTGGTACTCCCCCAAGCACCTCCGAGTACCACATGTTGGCTCCAACACGTCTGTCCGCTTTCCAGTGGAGAGATGTGGAGAATAGGATGGCGATCGTCCTCGTGCGATGCCCACCATGCGATGCCAACCGATGTGCGGCCACTAGACTTTGCGCCTCTTAGTCCTCCCCCCCGCGCTGGGCGACGACAGCGTGTTTTTTCGGCCCAAGGTACTGTGGATTCGGCACACCTGGGAGAAGAGATCTGCCGGACGCCCCTGGTGGAAGCCAGCCCAAGACCTCTTGTCGACTTGTTTTGTTTCAGCTTACCAGCTTCTGATTCCAAGCCCTAGCATTCTTCCAAACGGGTCCCGTCCAACTGGTTTCCAAGGCACAATTCACGAGCTCCTGTGGTGAGAGGAGCTCCTGGTCTCCGCGCGGACAGCAAGTGGAGATCTTTGGAGTGACAGAATCCACACTATCCCAGTAGGTCTTACAAACATTACACATTTCACTGGGTTTGGTCATGCAAAAAACAATAAGAACATGATGTTTTTTTCTCTTGCCAGGTTATACTTTGTCCTTGGAGCAGAAGGGTATGCGTACTTGACCATCTTCATGTGTGTGCAGGGAGGCGATTAAATTCCTACAAATGGAGTTGCCCAAAAATTAGAGACTAGAGACCTACGTCCTATTTGAGGTTTGAAGGTGTCTTGCGATTTGCAGATCGAAACGTAGCCACAGTTTGTCAGGACTAAGCCTGCACTCGCCCCTTTTTCCCCAGGCGGGCCCCCAACAAGAAGAAGCATCCAAAACCGCGCTTCAACAGCCCCTGTTCCCAAACCCAAACGAGACCTCTCCAGAGAACAGGGTCATCTTCCCAAGCACATCCGTGTGTGCTCGTCCGTCTGTCGCTGCTGCTTTGACCGAGGGGCAGTGGCATTGCGGTAGATCTCGCGGTGCGCGTTGAGGATCGTGGCGGAGGTGACCTCGTGGTGGGTTTGTGCGTTTTCCAGTCGAGCGCAGATGGAAAAGTTCGAAGACACTGAAACATGACCCATAATGATCTATCTACTACACATCAAAAATACTAAATAGTAAATTTCCATTGCATAGACAGGCGCATATGTGTGTGTGTGTCACCTCCTGTATCCAAGGAGGATGACCGCGTTCGCTAAGTAACCACCCTTAGAACTCACCATTTTAGTTCACTTCTTGTACAGGCTCGCAGGGGGACATGGCGTGCGTTCAGGGACCATGTCCAACGAAGCTACCTGACGCACGGGAAGTGAGAGCTGATCACTCTCATGTACCCGCAATCATTTTAATTCTTGCTGGTTTTAACTGTTGTCCAAGCTGCGACTCCCATTTTCCAGTAAAATGCGGTTTTTTCAAACTATACAAGTTTGCCCACCTTTCGCCCTGCGGTTCCTGCAAGTCAAGGTCTAATGTAATCAGTAACTACCTCACGGGCATTTCCACACTGATATAGCTCTTGCGAGCACGGATCTAAGTGTGTTTCGCAACAGGGTCCCAGTGAGGTCTGTTGTGTGATCCCTTCGGGGCGCTTTGAGGATAGACCCTTAAGGGGTATTTTTCTCTGATTCATCTGTACGCCGCAGGGCCCACTGTGTAATCGTCTCTAGGTTGCGGCTAAGTATTCACTTTGTCGTTTCCTTCTTCCTCTCCTGCTGCTTCTCTTCTTTTTCTAGGCTTTCTCTCGTTGCTAGAGGCATAATTTAGGTTTCTTTCATGTCACCCTGCTAAGTAATACACGGAGTAATTCATGCACGGTCTTGCTTTCTTAGGTGTCAGGTTCCTTTTTAGTCAAGTGAGCGCCGATTCGGCTTTAAGGCTGGGCCTCGGGCCGACGCCGTTCATCCCGCACACACTCTGCTTTCTTTCCTTGCTTTCTTCTGGTTGTTAGGTTTTCTCTCAGGCTTGTTAGGTTGCTTTTTAGGCTCGTTTAGTCGATCACTTCCCCACGCCGCGGAGCAAAAAGAGGGCCAGGGAGCGCCGATACGGCTCTGTGTGTGTGTGCGTCACCTCCTGCATCCAAGAAGAATGACCACGTTTGCTAAGTAACCACCCTTAGAACTCTCCGTCTTAATTCACTTCTTGTACAGACTCACAGGAGGACATGGCGCGCGCTCAGGACCATGTCCAACGAAGCTACCTGACGCACGGGAAGTGAGAGCTGATCACTCTCATGTACTTGCGGTGATTTTGGCTGTGGCGGCTTTGTTCAAACTATACAAGTTTGCCGGCCTTTTGCCCTGCGGTTCCTGCGGGTCGGGGTCTAATGTAATCAGTAACTACCTCACGGGCATTTCCAAACTGATATAGCTCTGGCGAGCATGGATCTAATTGCGCCAAGCCCCGTTTTCAAAGGCACTGGTCAGAATTCCATAGCAGGGGGACCATCCATGTTGTTAGCCACGGCCCAGCGAAGCCACCACAGTGCATGCGGACATCGCGTTCCTGCACTAGTAGTCTAAGGCGGTAACTAGATCGTAAGGTCCTTAATGCACTCTTGGGACCACCCTGAACTGTGCTTTTGCGAGCTCTTTCTCAAGTGTGACCCGCAACACTTTCTCACTGCAGCAGAATTTATTGCTCCGCAGGAGAGATCCACCCTATATGTCCTTGGACACCGTGCATTTCCTGACCAAGGATGCTATCTGATCCAAAATTTGTTCACTATGTGGAATGACTGATTAATGCTGCAGAGCTCACTGACTTTCCTACTGAAATTGATACTGCAGAGCTCACAGACTGACATCTACGTTAATCCGTTCTTCACGCGACTCTCGCTTTGACTTGTCTCGTTTGGTTTTTCCTTTGTTCTTTTCTCCTTATTTCTTAAGGTTTGTTAGGTTGTAACTCAGGTCGGCAGATATGCATTTTTTCCACCAGCCAAACACTGCCAACAATCCACGTCCCTCCCGTCCGTCCTCCTTGCCCTCGATTTTTCCGCTGCGGTGTACACCCTTCTGGACGCCTTTTACTTTGCAGCTGGCAGCCATACCAACCATACACCACTTGCGCGAGTATCGGCTTTTACCCTGGTGTTTCACAACATGGGTTGCATGAGAATTTGCTGCATCGAGGGGAAGACCGGACACTTCTTTTTTACTTTCCCTTCTCGTTCTTCGGCTTTGTCTGTTCTTTTCTCTGTCCTTTTCTCTCTCTCTCTCTCTCTCACTCTCTCTCTCTCTCTCTCCCTCTCTCTCTCTCTCTCTCTCTCTCTGGGCAGTCGGCAGTCATGCTCAGTCTCTCACAGGGGCGCGGAAAAAACGGCTCTGTGTGTCCGTGTGTGTGTGTCGTCAACTCCTGTTTCCAAGGAGCACGACCACATTAATTCACCTCCACCTCAACCCTTTTTAACCACTGTACAGTTCAGCAGGGGATGGAAACACCTGCGTTGCTGCTCCATCAACGAAGCTGGCAATGCATGGTGAGGATATCAGCTCCAGACACAGAACTGACGTACCTGCTTGTTGTGGTGTTGACAAGCTGTTTACCCGTTTGCCCACTCCACCGGTAAAGTGCTAACGCGTCCTTGCTGAAACCTTCTGCTGAACCGACTCTTCACATTTGCGGTTTTGCAAGTCAAGCGCTAAGTATCCACCTAAAGGGCTAGAGCACTGGAGTTCAAAACTGATAGAGCTCTTGCGAGCATGGATCTAAGTGTGTCAAGCCCAGTTTCCAGGGGCACTGCTCAGAATTCGAGAGAAAAGGGACCATTATCACGACTGATCACCGGGATGTACCTCTGCCTGGTCAAGAAACCTTTAAGTTTAACAATATTGTTGCAGACTCCTTGACCTTACGTTTTGCACATTGCCATTGAGAGGTTCAGGTCTTCTTGCACTACTGGTAGTCGGCTAATGCGGTAACTGCGGTAACTATATTAATTAGATCGTAAGGTGTTAATGTAATTACTTTCGGGACCGCCTTGAATTGTGCTCTTACGAGCTCCCTCTCAAGTGCTCATGCTTCAACGCACGGTGACATCAACAATGTTCACTGCCCTCGATCCATGTCCACGAGTCGTGCTCTCGCGTTGTGGACCAAAGGTCCACTGGAAAGCTCGCTAGCTCGAGTACGCTCGGTTCAGTGCCCCTGAGATGGCGACGGCCCAGCAGGAGCCACAGGAGCCCTGATTGGCAATCACCTGGCGATGAGGGACCCCCGAAGTGGTCCGGTGGGTGCCGTGAAGCATCAAACCTTGCAGGTCAAGGTGTCGACAGGTCCAGTGGTTTCTGGGTAGTAGAGCAGAGCACCACTCGTGGACGTCTAAAGTCATCTCTTGAGTGGGAAAGTGCTCCTTCCACTGTGCTGAAGGCTGCTCGGGCATTCGCGTTCAATGGTCCCTTCCCTTCTACCATCAATGCCCGAGTTGTGAGGATGAGAACAGCTCGGGTTGTCAGCAGTTGACCACAAGTTGGGTTACTTGAAAGTCGTCGAATCGCTTGGGAGTGATCAAAGGAAACGCTCTCATGAACCTGGCCGGCTTGAACAAACACCAGATGAAAAAAGGCAATGCTTGTGGCTGATCTCTCTGCCACAGCGCCAGACTTTTCCCAACACATGGCCAGGCGGAAAGCCCCCGGACACTCTCTGCCTGCAACGTCTTAAGATTCCTCCATTTCTGCCAATTCTCCGGCAAATCATCATTCTGCAGCAGATTCAGATTGCTCCTGACGGTTTCCGCGGATTCAGATTGCACAACAGCAATAGCAAACCAGTCACATTTGGAAGAAACACATCACCTCCACTTCCACTTCCGGAACCGCGAACGGAATTTGCACGCAGCATACTGCTGAAAGCGCATTTTTCCTGGCATTCCCCCCTTTTCGGCACCTCCAGTCACCCCAATTCCGTCCGGCTCCTGCCGGATGAGCTACCTAGCAGCATCCGAACCGCTGGTTGGTCAGTGACGCACACGGCGAGGCTATGTGGTGCTTCCGTGAAAACGACAGCGATGCAATGCGATGCATGTAGAATGAGGTGGAAGTATCTGGATTCTTGATGCGACTCCCGAAGTGCGACTGAGGGATAAATGGCGTCAGAATGAACAGAATCCTCCAAATGTCAACCTACACCTTGAAGCAAACCTGCAACACACTGAATGGCTCATGAGTTCTCTGAAGTGGTAGGTCAATTCCAGAGTGTCTTAAATTATGAAAGCATCTGAGACATCAAGCTGGTGATGCATGCCCCTGGCAACTAGACTCAAACTGAGGTTACAAATGGGTGTTGCAAGTGGATCCCAACGAGCATCAAAGGGTGTGTCCCAGATTTTTCCTGGTCCCCCAGGTCTCGGCAACGACGTGACCCCACAAACGGGCACGACTTGCATCACGGAAGGATGGGGGGGCGCTCCAGTCACCCTCTTCTCAGCTGGAAGAGGAGGGAACGTGGAGCCTGGTAGGGTGAAAATGGTGGTTGAGGACATTTTTTTTTGAAATCATCAAAGTGGAAAACCAGTGGGTGGATTAGAGGACAAATTGTATTTCTATAGCCTTTATGACATTTTTTCACGGTCCATGTGGGCCTGGGTCAATAAGGCTTCCGGACATGGTGATGAGGCCTTTGGATGTCCGGTCTTCGTTTCAACTATCCTCGAGGCGTTTTTTGGACCCAGTCACGTCGAGCACCTTTCCAGCCCCTGATCTGCTTCAGCTCCTGGCCGTGTCAAAATGTCGGAGTCTGTGCCGTTCAGCTTGCTGAGGGGCAACAGTCTTGTGGAACGCAGCTTTTCTGCAGAGCAACCGAACGGCAGAAAGGAAAGCTTCGAACCTCGAACGCGGCGATGAACCAATCGACCGTTTTTTGCCGTTCTCTGGGCTGGGACCAGATGATCTCAGTGTAGGGGCCCCGTTCCTAGATGATCTGTATGCAAAATTTGATGACTGTCCTTCACTGTTCCTGGTGTCTTCAGAGTGGATGATGCAGGTATGGATTCGAGTGCATAATCGGTGCCACAAAGACTCGCGAATGGCATACCTGTGTTCTCTATGTCATTCCACGCCATCGCAGCACCACGTGAACGACATTCTAAATTCTAACTACAGGAGGTGTTTTTTGTGCCACAAATCTTTAAAACATGCTGTGACCTTTGGAGCCCTGAACACCCGGTGTCCTTGTCGGTATAGTCAGCCAAAGGGGTCATTCCCGCGCGCCATCCGCGTCCTGGTACGAAGCACGCCGATACCGCGCTTGCCGCGTCGAAAGCATCGACGCTTGCCGCGACGGCCATCCCACCCTTGAGACGAGCAGAGCGTGGGCAACCTGGTAGATTCCATGATGTTCCAGACCTCCCAATTTGCTCTTTTACACCAATGATGAACTTCACTTAGTTTGTCCCACTGGCCGAACCCCTCCTCGGTTCGGTCGCCGGGCCAAGGCCGCCTACCGGACCCCAAACGGACCCGACGAGCCTGGCAGCGCGTTGAGGCGCTGTGCTTCGTTGAAGCGCGTGCGGAAAATCGACAAGCGCTCCAGGTAATCTGGGCTGTGTCTCCTGGCGGGAGGTTTTTTTTCGCACCACAGGCGGGAAAATCACTTTTGGCGGCCACTCAAAAGAAACGAAAATGCATGACAAAAACTCTAGACAGCAGGGGTCCAAAAGCACGCAAGGAGATGACACAAAACGATGATGATGATGATGATGATGATGATGATGATGATGATGATGTTTGGACAGTTGAAGTTGGCAGCCGTTCTTTACGGAGAACCCTTCGCAGGTGCTTTGGGAAAGAAGAAGGATTTGTTTGGAAGAGCTCCGGAACCAAAACCTGGTGGTTCTGATGTGTTCAAGTGAATGGAAGTAGGGGGGGAATGGAGGCTCAACACGACGCCTAAAGGCATGATTTCTGCATCATAGCCCATTCAACAAAACAAAGGAACCCCACAAATCTGGGCATATGTCAACTGGAGATTCTTCCACACAGCAACACGCTACCCCCAATGATGTTCTACGATCGGGATCTTCGCCCTACCGGGATTCGTCCCTCATTTAAAGGATGATTTTTCCACACATGTTTAGAGGGTGGATGCTGAGAAATCCGGGAAAATGTATGAATCGCCACCACATCATGCTACTTAGGCCAAGGGATGGTTGAAACATTGGGCTGGAATACATACAGCCCTGTCCCCGGTCCCCATCCCAACGAAACATTGAAAAGGTCTTTTTAAAAGTAATAAACCAGAAACTCTTTCAACGTTGAACGTTTGTCAATGTTATCCGTCTCAAGCACACCAGATATGTAAGTCTTGCCAAGCTTCGTGTAGTTCCGATGGTACCTGGGCGTTCAGCATCTAAACTTCCTACAACCAACTGGGACAAGTTGGACAAGTACCAAACATCACCGCATGTGACAAGGTTTGAAGCTCGGCTCAGAGCCTCCAATGTTCATCGGAGGACATCAAAACCAACTGCTGAGCTGGGCTTTTGAGTCACAGCCTCCAGGCTGGATCCCATCACCCGAAGGCTGTTTCGGCGAACGCCAGTCTCTTTCAGAGTTCAACCGCAACAAGTGACGGACGAACGAGGAACGCCGAACGAGGAGAAGTGGAAGTCGCAGCAATGAAGAGAGTTCTTGGACGGTCAAGGGTTGGGAGTGATTTTGGCTTCATTCATTTAACACTGGGTGAAACTTAGCTCGTTTTGGTGGGGATGGACAGCACTGCCCATCAAATTGGACTCAGCCAGGGTGCTTGGCGATAAAGTTGTCAAACTCTTCCTCTGGCAGATCGGCTGGACGAACAACAGTGCCAGCTGCCAATGGAAGCAAAGCGAGAGCGAGAAGAGTCATAATGCGAACGTAGTAGGTTCACCTTAGCTCCAAGTCTGCGACTCCTTTGCCCAAGAAGCTCTCCCAACCTAACATGGTCACCGTCACCTACAGCAAAACCGCAGCTTGTGATGGAAACAAATGGTTAGTTCACCTTCAGATTCCCAGATGCATATGGTGAGTTCGTGTCGCCTGAGAGCCCCAAGTGGCGGAATTGCTGTGCCAAGAGTTCTTTTCAAGAGAACGTGTTACTAGATGTTACTAGTAGCTTCTTGTTCCTAGTAAAAATGGCCTCCAACCAAATAGCGATGGCCTCCAGTAGGAATGGCCTCCAACCTAATAGCGATG